CGCAAAATCGTGAAGCGTTCCACATTTTTTCCCCCAATCTGCTGTTGTGGACAAACTCTTACTATAAAGCACATTCTCTGCGATTGCCTCAACTTTTCCTCGGCTAGAAGTATTGCATTTGGAACGATTAACCCTTTGAACATTCTACAATCAGCTTCAGAACAGAATATCAATTCAATATATTACTTTTTTAATACTACTAAGTTCACTATCTAATATCCATTTATTTAAATTAGAGCCGATAGCCTGTGTTGCTAGTGCTCAATGTCTTTTTTTTTAGTCTAAGAATTCAGTTCATTAGTCTAAAATTAAAATAATAATAATAATATCTCTACTTAATTAATACAATAGCGATAGTTTTCTCGATTGAGAGAACTCGTCAAGGTATTTGCATTTGTGTTTGTTTTCTCCGATACAACACTTCTATTCGATGTATTTGAGCATTTGAGTCTCTTTTCCTCTCTCTCCGGCTACAATGGGAGCATGGTTTGAAAAAACTAAACTTCTAATTGACAATAAGAGCCCCAAATTGTTCAGGTCAAGACTTCGAAGGGCTTTCTTCGCATAGCACCATTGCCCATTTGTCGATGGAAAAATTGCAATCTTAATGTTTTTATTATCACTAATTGAATTGTTAAGCGCGAAAACGGAACACGGAATTCAATCCAAGTCTCTGTCGCCAATAGATTTATTGCAAATTCTTTGAATTTTGATGAATATCACTCACTTACCATAAAAAAGCTTTAGCAAAAAAAAAAAAAAGGGTGAGAAATCAAGACAGCATTAAATAAAAACAAGACTGTGTTCGTCTTACTTATTTACTCACCTTATTAAAGTTGAAAAGGAAAAAAATGCAAAGCAATTTGTTATTTATGAGCATTAGGACTATTTTTATAGTCGCTTGTAAATTTGCGAGCGAAACACACTCACTTCTAAACTTTGTTACAATTAAGCATACATTTATCAAAGCAAAGTAGACGTTTCTTCGCCGAGAAAGTAATTTTCCTTATAATAAAAAAACGAAAAAATTTTTTGTAAGGTAACGCAATAATTTGCAATGAAATTACTCTTAAATAATTATTATTCATATTATTCATATATTCATTCATAATTTCATATTGTCGTCGCTGCGAAAGCAATCAATCAATCAATCAGCTGTGTCGCCTCAGCCGTTCGGTATTTTCTAAGACTATGGTCAAATAAATAGAGAATAAGAGCAATAATAAAAATGATGTTGAAGTCATCAACATTTTGTGTGTGTATGTGATAATAATAATAATAATAATAATAATAATAATAATAATATTATGAAAGTATTTATGCACACATCAACGCAATGACCTTTAAGCAGACATTTATCTGCATTAATTGCGGATGTGAAGTAAAGGAGTTATATAAAAAGTATAGCAATGTTGTTAAGACTGTGAATTGTGTAAGTTATTAATGCTATTTGGAAATTTTTATTAAAGTCGCATATGCGTTATTTTAGGAAAAATGTCACAAAGTCGTTGATAAATATGTTGAATTTGAGCCGGTTATCATATTGTTGGATACGGTACTGCTGTCACAGCAAGCGTATAGGCACATTTTGTATAACAGGGACTTTAAGGTAAAACAATTTCTAATCTTATCGATAAAATTGGCAAAAATATTAATATAAATATAAATATATATATATATATATATATATATATGAAAATGTATAGCTTTTTTGGAAATTGTCTTTGATGTTACTATTGTTAGAATCGTTTGCACTGTGGCGGGAAAAACGTGAGCAGCCAGTCGTTAGGCAAAAAGCCAATACCATCTACGAGCAGGGATTTTACATATGTTGCTTCCAAAACATAATCGGTAAAGAGTCTTTTTTTATCAATGATTTATTAGCAAATTTGAAATTATCTTCGTTTTGCAGATAATCTGCTATGCACAGTGCTATTGTTCACCTTTACGTTATTGCTGCGTACTAAGTGGGTGCTGGAGATGGACATGAAACGACTTATGTTTACACTGCTAAAGGCTAATACATTAGCGAATTTCTCCAAGTTTTTCCTATTGCCGATAATCTTGTGGCGTGAAAATACAACCGAATTTGATATCAATCTGCATCGGATTATTGTAATGGCTCATCATTTGTGTTCGCAGACTTTTGTATATGTAATTGTTAGCCGTCTAGCTAGACTACGTGCATTTATTATAATAATTTCGACATATTTTGTTAAAAAATTTCTATTACAATATGCTATGAATATTTTGGAGCATCGATTAACGCAATGACTTTATTCATTTGTCTTTTCATTCATTTAATTGCTCGTCTCTTTTCTTCTTTTTATTTTTTTTTTTTGTTTTTTAAAAAAACAGTATTAGAATTCTTATGGTTTTTTTTGTTTTTTTTTTTTGTTTTTGTTTTTTATTATCGATTTATTATTTAAGTAATATCGATGATATCGGTACAATAGATAGATACATATGCAATCTAATTATCTACCGACAACTCAATAATCTTAAAATTATTACCAGGTATATGTAATCCTATTCAATCGATTAATTCTTAATTAGTTTATCCCTCTTCATATTTGGGTTTATATAGAAGTGAGAAACTTAAAATATTACTAACAAATGAACGTTTTTCTTAACATTGCATATATATATATATATATAAAAATTTTCACCTTTTTAATGCAATTGATGTAAGATATAATTTGATTTGAGTTGATTACACAACATCATCATGGATATTGAAAACTTACTTAACTTTAAATACACTTTCACTAAAACTTTCTCTAAAATGCTGGGCAGTTTAATTGCAATTATGAACAATTATTTATTTTAATATATCCTCTCAAATAAAACGCCGAAATTATATTTTCCGAGTTTCTTGAATAGAAAGGACAATAGGACAAGCAATTGTTTAATTTAAAAAAAAAAAAAAAAAAAAACAACTTAAATGCGCTAAAAATCAGACAACATACCTACTTGTAATTAGATTTCCTTTTTCTTTTACCTTTCTTTAAAGACTAAAAATATACTTATTGCAATTAATTTTAAAAACAAAATTCATTAAGAACATATTTACTTAACTATTATGCAAGAGAAGGTTAAATAATATTTAACCGCAGTTTGTAAATGAACTAATTAATTCAATGTATGATAAGTGGATATGACGCAGGTTTCAATGGTCGCGATTAGGCAAACAACGAAGATAATTTAACTCAATTAATTTCGAATTTAACGAAAAAAAAATCAGGTGCGTCTTTGAAATAAGAAAAGAAATTTTCATTCATTTTTTCCAATTCTCCCCCTCCCACCCACCCCGTTTAACTTATCGAATCGCGCCTTTACAAGCCTATTCTCATATTAAGCCAAAAGTATACAACCTCTGATTTATATCACCGCTATATTTTTTCGTGCCGTTTTCATTAATTGGCTTTCTGTCGCAGACACCATATATATGTTTAAAAAAAAAGCGGAAATTTCTTTTCATCTGGCAGATTTATGCATATATATATATATAGCAAATTTCCTCTGTTTCACAAATATAGGTGTGCAAGCATAAACATTTAATGTTTAATGTTTTGTACAATGAAGATTTTCATCGAGGTTTTAAAGCAATTTTAATATGAGGGAGAGAAGAGCAATTTTAAGAAGACCTGTGTACATATATTGAATGTTTTTTGCGAAATTAACAAACGAACGAACGAACGAACGAACGAACGATTCGTTCATCTATTAGTGTTTTTAACAGCCTTTCCTCGCTCATCAATCAATCTATATGAGTTATGTATATATGAATACATTCGATTTCTTTAACCTGCCTGCATTTTGTAAATTTTAACAAAATCAGTGAGGACTTGAAATTTTTGTTTTAATTTTTTTTCCTGTAAATTCTTTTCAATCAATTGCCTAGAACATAAATATGTTAAAGGTAGAAATAAAAAGTAAACATCAAATGTGTAAAAGTGACGCAGTTTTGACATCGTTCAATGCAATTGTGTCTTGAAAAAGTTGACCTTACGAAGTCATATTCCAAGATGATGACGATGAGCAGGATGAGCAATCATCGCTCTCGGGAATTGCATTGGCATGATGAAATGAGTTGGGTCCCCATATGCGTACAGTTGCGTCGTCGCTTGCCGAAGCCAATAAAGACGGATAAGCGGGATTCCAGGAAACGCAATTAACTGTTTTAGTATGACCCGATAATTTGGCTAGCGGTTCTTCGCGTTTAATATGCCAAATAACAACATTTTTGTCTTCACTGCCGCTCGCTACGAAGCTTTCATTGACACCTCCAAAACAAGAATGTATGGCAAAATTACTTTGACGTATCCCTTGAAATCTACGCACCAAACATTTGTCCTCGATATCCCATAAATGTAGCCCTTGATTGGATATGTTTAATAGGGCCAATCGATCGGCTGAATTCACAGAGAACGTCATAATGGGATGAGTCTCCCTGAGTACATCAAAATCGCTTCGAGGATTATCAAAATTATACCTATTGATAATATTAATTTTAGTGAGAGAATATTTTTATAAATTTTTATGAATAATTGACTTGCCCTCTTATACGGTAGTGACTGTCGGCAGCTAATATAGTCTTGTTATCTGATCTAAATACAACACTATTTATGCGTACACCCTCCCATGAGTCCAAAATGGTAGCCTTCAGATCGCACAAGTAAAATTGACCTTTTTGACCACCGCAAACAAAACGAGTTCCGTCACGATTAAAGGCACCGCACGAAAAGCTGTCCTCCTGAATATTATGGCTCATCTTCAGAATAAGACGACCGTCGTCAACATTGAAAATGCATATTTCCGAAGAGTCCTCTGGTCCGCCTATTAGTACTAATTTTGAATCTGGACTCCAACTGATAAAAGCTACACTCATTTGAAAGCGACTGTCAAGCACTCTACGTTGCTTTATTTGTAACTTATAGGGGTCCACATCCCAAATTATTACTGTGGCATCCTTGCTTCCTGTAGCCAATTTAAGACCGTCAGGCGAAAACTTACAAAACCATACTTCATCACAGTGATCAGTAAGAATTTGGATAGTCTGCATAGGAAATCCATCGGTAGCACAACAATGATCAGTCAATAAAGACACGTTTTGTAAATTAGTCTCCCATGCCATGTCATGGCAGGGGCATCGTTCTGCTTGTAATTCAACTGCTTGTTGCAATAGCATGCGCAGGCGGCGCGGTGGCATCATTACTGACGGTGGTAAGAACGTCTGCAGTCTCTCCATGACAAGAGCTCTAGATAGAATTCCTTTACCCTCCCACTTAGAACGCTGGTATAAATCATGGTTATTTGAACACATCATGTAGGAGGACAACTGATGAACACGTGAAATATTGTACTGAAGTGGAGTAAGTTCATTACGCAATACGTGTAACGCATCCAGCGGACATCCATCATCTAGATGTTCTAAATACTTCTGTTCTAATAAAAGGAATTTCATTTCAGTTATTGTTGAAGGCTTTCCATTATTTATTAAAGGTTCCAACTCCTGAAATAAATTATATATAATTTTTCATTAAATACATTTTTTGCGTCGTATTCTCTAAAATACAAAAAAAATTCTTCCAAAACCTGGCGTTCTATCTCACAGTCTTTGCTTACTTTTACTCGATTTTATTCCTATTCATTTTCCTACTTTTTAATGTAAACTATTCGTAAAGGGAAAATAATATAATAATCTGCAAGGACTAAATCATCGGATGCATCGGATAAACTTTGCCCTAATTATTATATTTTTTAATTCGGCGAAATTGGTTTTAAGGAACTGTCATAAAGAGCGGTGGAGACTATATAGCTACTAATATATGTATATACATATATATATATATATATATATATATATATATATATATATATATCTTTAGTTTGCTTCAAAAATGTATATTAAGGCAGAATTCGATCTACTGCGCAAAATGCTGCAAAGAAGGAACGCATTTGGATGCTTATGCTGTCTATATTTTTGGTCGATGTCGATCGACATCGACCAAAAAGTAAAGTTAAGTATCGAAATACCGATTACCAATGGAAAACTTTAATAATTTAATTTCAAATCTTTTTATTTCATCTCGATGCGTTGAAGCCTAAATACATTTTGAGCCTCTATATAATGCGCACAACGCTGACACATATGTCTTGCATTGAAGTACTCTCAATCATTTCAAGCCATCACATTTATTTAATAAAGTTGAACAATTCGAAAGCAAATATGTTTTCGTTAATTTCAAAATGTGTTTTTATATAAAAAGAAGGACAAGCTTTTTCAGCACCGAATATCTTCATATATCTGCACACTTCCAACACTACCCTATGTTCAAACGAAAAGAATTTCAAATAAATTAGAAGATATATATAAGAGTATATATATATATATATATATATATATATATATATATATTTGTGTATGCATATGTATACAATATATGTATAGAATAGTATTAACGTTACGATGGAAATCTGACGGAAAATATGTTTAAAACTGTTGTTAATAACAAGCAGTAGTAGATAAGTAAAACTTTGATCTTAGTTTGGCGTGTATTTTTGTTTGTGTCTCTACGTCCCAGGGAAATGTACGTTATTGGTTGCATTTAGCATAGATTGAGGAGATTTTATTTAATTATACTTTATACTGTATAAAGCGCGAAGGATTTTTACCTGCAAATCAGCGTCTGCTTTAGCCCATTCCCCCGAAAGTACGTGTTCACGAAATTTGGTGGCGGACGGGTGTTCTAAATAACAGCCAGATTCAGACATTAAGGTTTTGACTGAACTTTCCAAGCCTAAATCCTGCAAGTACTGACCAATAAGTCGTATTATCTCTTGATTGGTTTTACCAAGCCAAGAAATGGTTTTCGTAACATCATGATCATTTTGATCATCGCAAGCACTTGTTCCAACTGAATTACTGTTGTTATCGTTGGCGGTGACTCCATTGTGTTTTGATGTGTGTCCATTAGTGGATACATTATTTACGCCTACGGCGGCGCTACCGCTGGAATCACTGTGATTACTATTATTAACAGCTGATCCACTGGAATTTGGTATAAGCCCAGGTTCTGAAACCGCTGGGCTGGCCGATGGGCTGCCGGATGATTGTGAGGGATTTATTGCCGAGTTTTGCATATTTGATTCCTGTGTTTTTAAATCGTGTTTAATATCACCTTCAATTAATGCCGATACGATTGCTTGATTAGTTTCGTCCGTGTTCCCGCTATTTATTTTGGTTGAATTAGATTCAGTTTTGATCAATTCGCTTTTTGTGTGTTTTTCAACGTTACTGTGATTAATTGGTTTCTCCTGTTGCGCTGCTGCTGCTGCTGCTGCTCTTGATGTTGACGCCGTTTCTGTGTCAAAAGAGCTCCGACTCAAATTATCGCTAATATAGTTTGACTCCGTCAAAGGTGATGTCGAGTTTCCTGCTGCTGAGCGTCGTACCTTTTTGCGCGGCGGCTGGTCCTCAGGTGAGGCACCAGTTGCAGCAGCCTTTTTGTTATTTCTATCAATTTTGAGTCTCTTTGTAAAACACACACGTCAACGAGGAACACCCCTCTACCACCGCGCAGAATACAAAACTAGTTTTCTCGCTTGATTGCAAATCACACTCCGCAAATGCTGCAGGTGCGCTTTCCCTTCGTTTACCTTAAAACGCGATTACCGTATTAATAATGGTTCCAATGAAACAGACGATTCGATTATACGCAAAAACAGAACGAAGACCCACTGCAAATATACAATGTGATATAAAAACAATAAAAATACATTAAAGAATATATTGGCAAAATATTTAGATATGTGCATGCACGTCTCCGCAAAAAAATCATGTGGGATTTATGGTTGCTATTGAATGCACGGTAAATATATTCTCATACATATATATATATATATATATATATATATATATATATATATATATAGGTAATATAGATATAGATAAGTACAGATATATTTTTATATGAAATATAATAATGCTTATAACCTTTACAAGAAAATGAATTTCAACTTTTGAAGTTTATTTGATATATAAAACTATGACTACTTATTGAACTAAAAATAGAGAGAAAAGTAGTTAACTTATTTTTATTTACAGTGAACAGCTGATCAAATTAATTATGTGTATGATGTGATATATATTATATACGCGTATATATATATATATATATATATATATATATATATATCTATATATATATATATATATGCAAAATGCAGCAATTATTTCAGGAGATATAATCTATCGATTATCAATCAAATCAAAATTATTGGACGGAAAGTTCTAAAGCAAAATAAAACAACACATACATACATAACACGCTCGTCGCACACGACACACAAATTAGTCGCTTAGATTTGCTTTTTAATAGCAGCACGACGTAATGAAATCGCAATCTTCTGCAACACTTAAACCAGTTTTATGTAATTGTTTACTCGGCTTGGAGTGAGACTTTAGGCTAGCAATGTTTTTGCGTAAACATTATACCATAATTGTGTTGTTTTATATTTCAAATATTTATATATATATATTGCCGAAAATAATATCACAATATAACACTTCACACTTGTCACCACTTTTATTTTAACAGAATAGCTAACGACGTTTCACGCACAATGGAGGTCAATTTTGTCTTTATATTTCTTCATTTGCTCTTAAATAGTTGGCTCTGTTTTTAATATATGTAAATTAAGACACTTGTGCAAATGACTTATTTTTCCCCGAGAAACAAGTTTTTTTTTTTATTTTATATTTGCTTTTCTCTGTATATATATATATATATATATATATATACATATATACATATATATATATATATATACTCTTTAAATACTCTTTACTTTTCACTTCTTCCCGCTGTTAAAAATGTTCACTTGTAAACATAGATTAACATAATTGTTATAATATTAATCTATGCTTGTAAACCTCAATAATTCAACACACGATGACGAAACAAAGAACAAAGAACGAAATTTTTGTATGTGTATTTTTTTCTCCACTACTGCACGATGTGATGTTAATAATGTTTTCATTTGTCCCATGAATTCACGGTGCCAGACTGTTGCAGATCTCACAGTATTAGGCTAATGAGCTATTTAGTACGCATCCAATCATATGTATATTTGTATATAAGCTGCATTATACTTTCCAAGACAAATTCATATGCATATATCTATATATATATATATATATATATATATATAGATGTTTAATTGTTCTGATTTATTCAAAAACATATATATTTTAATTCTCATCCTGATTTGGTAACTATACCGAAGCGAGTTGCCAGACATCTATGCAAAAATCAATCATTAATATTATTAATATCGGAATTAAAATGTTAAGAAAGTAGTTTCTGTTAAGAGGTAAGTGTGAAAGTTTTAGAATTTATCTGTAGACCGTTACATAAAAATTGTATATATTTATATATATAAAATTCATTCATATGGATCATCATTATCAAGAAATCGAAACGTACAAGCTTTCAGCAACGTGCTGTTTGCCTTGTTAGCTGTTATTCATGAAATAAAACCGAATATTTGACTAAGCGAATAAATGCCAAAGTAAAGAAAATTACTTGTCCCAAATTGATAGCAATTTCTAACGGCTTAAAAAAGACAAAATCTATACTTTTTTGTTTCTCTAGCGTTCCATATTTTGCGTGCGTGCGTGCGTACGTTTGTGCGTTCTTGACAAATTCTTGTATTCCTAGGAATACATGGCCAGCGTAACAATAACTATATGCAAACATATATATATATACTATACTTACGTATACGAATTGAAAATCATTTTTGTCTATTTATTTAAAATTTGCAGTGTTTAGAATGATTATTAGAATAGATGAGCTTTGCTTTTTAATGATAAATAGATTAAAAACATTTTTTTTCTTTTTTTGTTATTTTTGAAACTGTTAATACGTAAGAACATTATCATCAAGCAAAGCCGATTATTAAATACTGTACATCACTTTATTTAACACACTACCTTATACCCTATTTTTATGTAAATGACATAATTTTCATGAGAGTGCTTGTATTGGGAGCGGACTCAAAACGTGAGCTGATCTCGTTTATATTAATTTTTTTTATCAAATACCTTACTATTCTTCATCAATTTTTTTTATAAAGCAGTAAAAATTAAATTTTGTTGTCGTATGAAGGCTTATTCTTCGCGAGGATCCTTGTACGGGATGGAATTAAAAAGAAAAAAAAAAAAAAATAATTACCTTACACGACCAAAGTTTGTACAAGATATCATTATATGTGATGAAATTTAAAAAATTGGATCGTTTTGCCTTATAAAGGTTTACTTTTTGTAAGAAAAATTATATGGGAGAGGATTCAACAAAATTCTCATATCGATTTGGTAGGTCAAAATACTTTTCGATATATTCGGATTTTGTTAATATATTCTTTTCGAAAATATTGAAATTTTTTTTTGTTTTTTTTTTTTTTTAGATAAGAACATTTACACAAGCTAAGGCATTGCATGGTGAGTGATTGTAAAATTGTTTCAATTCAATTCATTTTCAATAGCTTTTGCCCGTCGGCCAAACGTCTCACTGCACAAAATATCAAATCAAAATATCTCGAAAACTGTAAAAAAAAAAAAAAAATTAGCAGACCCCAAACAAATAGATGAACAGATATGCTTGAAATTGATTTGGAATATGATTCTGAGAACACGATTTCTTTTATCTCAAAGAATCGATTCAGTGTATCACAACTCTTTCTGAGCGTTGCATAGATTCGCAGATAATCCAACATTTTGACAGTTTAACGAAGTCGGTATTTTTTAATTTAGTATATATATATATATATATATATATTTTTGTTAAAAGTGCTTGACATAATCTATATATCATCAAGAAGTATCATATTCTGAGTTGCGAGACGGATAAATCCATATTGCGTCTATTAGTGGCATCTTCGCCGTCAAAAAGTAATTATATTTGCTCTGTTATAAGAAGATTAAGTGATCATAGCATAAGCATAATGAATTTTATGAAAATTTGACTTAAATATATAAACGAGTTTCACTTCCATTTGGACGATCTTATAAATCACGATTATATATTAGATAATTGTCGTTCCGGTTAACATAGTCTTGTGATCTATTCAACAGTTTGACTCTCACATTTTGGCGATATTTTGGCGAAATTAAAGTTTTTATCCGATATATATAATATTATAAAGCAAAATGTTGAAATGATATTGACTTTGAAGATCAATGTTTTTCTATGATAGTAATCTGTTCATTTGAATGACGTGAATATTGTAGAAAATATGTAAATACACTAAAGTGAGGCATGACCTATCATTAAAAACCGTACAATTAATTATCTTTATAAGGACTCTTCAAAATAAGGCGTTACATGGGAAATTCAGTTCCAATAGCGTTCAAGTCGTTTTGAGTCAAAACACGTCAGTGTGCTAAATTTCATCAATATATCTGAAAAATTGCGGCCAGCAGGTTAAATATTAAAAACTATCGATCGAATCGATCGGTATCATAAAAGGTGCATCTATCTCAAGTCCTTCTCTGTTTTGCTTACATTCGCACAAACTAAATATATTGTTGAACACAAGACAACAAGGCAGATAGAGAGAGAGAGAGAGAGAGAGAGAGAGAGAGATAGGCGGATACATAAGCTTAGATCGATCAAGAATCGTTTTCGGTATATATATATTTCGGTATAATAACTTGTGAATTTAATATACCCTTGTACCACACAAGTGTGGCAGGGTTTAAAATATAATTTCGCCCATTCATCCATATGTTGCATATGCAGATATTTTTCAATTCTACTGCACTATTATTGCACATTTCCTAAATAAATTTCCACCTCTAGCCGAGACATTTTGCATCATTGCATCAAATTCTTTAGAAAGAAATAAAATTTTCATTATGTTTACCATAGAGATTTCAATAGGTAAAAAAAAGGTTTAATCCATTCAGTTGAAATGATTGATATGCTTACAAATTTTCATACATATAAATTTTGTATTTCTTTATAATATTTTTTGCGAAATCAAAAATTTATTTAAAAAATGTAAACAAAAAACTATATTTAATGTACGGTTTATCTTAGATGCCAACTGTCGCAGCCAAAACAATTTAGATTTAAATTTCATTTATAGCAAATTTTATAACTTAAAAAAAATAAATTTTCTAGATTGTCGACAGTGTGGGCATCAGCTGAACTCAGCATTACATTAAACCGTGTTAACTCCATCAAGATGGGTATGCGCTTATATTAAATTTTTTATTATTCTGTTCGAACACTCAAAAATACGCAAACATAAATCCCTTAAAATATGTTTATATATATACATATATCTATATATATATATATATATACATATATGTACATAGCTTGAAATTCTACCTGTTTGGATTTCTTCAAGCATATAATAAGTTAGGAAAACTGAAACTTTTGCTTACACGCGCACAGTTGATTCCGCACAGATTAAGTTTTGATAATGGGCCGACTTCTCGATTAACAGCTAGAAAAAATAAAGGAAACATCAATTTTTTAACAATCTCGTAATAAACATATAAACATCTGATATTATATAGAGAGCTAAATGCATTTAATGTAAGTAATAAAGAATAACTAATTTAGAAAATTATTGACGCAGTAGCTTAAAAGGTGAACTAAATTATCCTTACTGATATTATCGGTTAAGCATTAATTCCCATTAATGCTTCCTAACGTCATTTATTTTATCGAGAATCTGCTAATAAAAAACTGCAATCGAAAAATGCAACTTAAGCGGAAACACTCTACAAATTTATATTCTATCATCATATTTCAAACATGCAAAAACACTAGAATGAGATATGACGCACCATTAAATACCCTACACCAGTTTGCTTAATACTCGACCTCATGTAACAACTTTATATATGGGAAGTGATCATTCAAGTGGCGATTCAATTCGAAACATTTTCAAGAGCGTTCGTCTTTGAGGTAAGACATGTCAGTGCATTCAATATCATTAAAATATCTTAAAAATGGCGAATTGTAGATTGAACTTAAAAAAAAAAAAACAAGATCGAACGTCGGATGGACGGACAAGCATACATCGATTTAGAAAATAATTCTGAATCGATCGGTATAGTAAAAGCTGAGTCTGAGGTGTGTTGAACACATCTGTACAAACTTAATAATATATCCTTACACCATACATGGTGTAGGGCAAAGTATTATAAATAGCAATCCTAATGCATAATCCAGCATTAGCATATGAAAAATATTGTGAGCGATAATTGATAATATTTAATTTATTTATAAATTTGTGCAAAAAAAAAATTTGTTAAACACGACTTGAACTTGTACTGCCGCCTTAAGTTACGGAGAGTTTTCTAAATGCGCAGAAAACGATCGGATGATCAATGTAGTTGTTAACGCACGTTTACCTAAAATTCTCGCAACATTCTCTCTCTTAATCAAAGTAAAATCATAAAAAAAAATAATCGCTTTCTGTGTATCTGTATAAATAGTTAGTTAAAGTAAAACTTTCTAATTTCATTGTTCACCGTCGAGATAGAAACGTCATTATATTACAATTAATAATGCGAGAAATGAGTTGAAATTGTTTACTTATCGAACCGGCTAATAAGAATCAAACTTATTTACAAAACGAATACTTCTGAAATTCATTTGCTTCATTCGCGTTTTGAATGCAAATGTGCATAAAAAAAAAACCTATTGATTGAACCTATTGAACTTTCATGTGACTTCAATCAATTCATTTTATAGCTTTTCAATTCATTTATTATAGTTTACAACTTCGTAAGAAAGATTATCTTTCACTATCTTATCTGTAACGCATGCATTTGTACTTGCTTTTGTCTTCAATTTTGTCCTATCAAAAAATAATCGAAGAGTATATAAATTACAACAAAGTTTTTTTTTTTTTTTTTCAATTAAATCAAAATAAAATCAATTGAATAAATATCTGATGTTGTTTTTAAAGGAGGTTGTTATTATGCAGAAAACGCGCAAATAAGTTTCCAAACCTGAATGGGAGGACACTTTGGTATTAAATTAAGTCCTTCCGCCGAAATGTGTCAAGCCTATGCTGCCTTTGCTATTTGGGTACTAAAAGCATCCCAAAATTGTTTACAAATTTATTGATATAGTCTCATAAAAAATGCAAAGGCATCTAAACAAAGTAGAGAGACAGACAGTCGAATTCGAATACAGTCACTGATGTACACTAAGGAGCCTTGTGAATGAAATTGTCTCTCCTTTATAGCCCTACTCAGTCGTATTAACCGTAGCATTATCTTGTAACTACTTTAGTACTTTTACTACTGCCTTCCTCTTCCTCTATCACATTTGTGCAAATTATTGAATAAAGTTGAGGAGTATTCTTCGATTTACCAACACACATTATATACACAAATATCGTTTGGAAGTAGAACTCAACTGGGATATAAGAACCATTGATAGATATTTCAAACTTGCTGAGATCTAAGAGTTTTCTATATTGCAAAGAAGTATTTTGTTTTTTTTTTTCCATATATCATTCATATTGAAGAGGAATCAGATATTCACTATTTATTGAAAATTTCGATTTTTCTATCTTTTTCGATAGCCAATATATCGCATTTTGTTAATTGTGAACGACGTCACTCGGTCGATAGGGATCAATTTCAAACCGATCTTTAGATCATCCTTCATAATGATTAGTTTTTTTTTTAATTTTTTACAATCGCTGTTCAAGTGTAAAGTAAAACGTAAAATTTTACGCTGATCGAAGATAGGTAAACCATATGGTTTCTCTAATGTGTGTGTGTGTGTGTGTGTGTGTGTACAATTGAAAATTGCTAGTACATAGACATAGCAAACGTACTGAAATCTCTTCTCTTGCTATAGCGTAAGAATGGCGGCTATGACGCCGCCCTTCCGATTAATTCGATTTGATATTTTGTAGCTCACCCACCTTGAGTCTTTAACACTAAACGTACCGACATTTCATCCTACCATGAGCGGTCAAATGACCGCTTCAAAAAAAAACGTATGTATCTTAGTAAAGTAGAAAGTAAACAAAATATTTTTCTGATGCTACAATAAAAACTCGTTCCCCGCTTTTCGATGTATGTATATTTTACGAAAAGTCAATAAGCTACACGATCATACAATAACGTTGAATCCAAGAAATTTTAAACAAAATTTTAAAAACGGTTATTTGACCGCGCTTGGTACGTTTAGTGTTAAAGACATGCAGCAATATAAAAAAACAAATAATAGATCTTTGTGTAGTGTAGGGTGTAGCTTGAACATTTCACATAGAATTACCGTCAAATGTTTTTAAGCAACAGAATCGATAGCATATTTAGAATGGAATTTATTCTCGTCTGATCTATAGTTTCGATAATGTGAATACCCTTATTATCCTTGGGGTGTAATTTAATATTTCTTTGCCTCTTGCATTATGTTTTATTAATAGCAATAAAACCGGCGATCTGCACGAATTCGATTTTTAGAATTGGTTTATTTTTATTTTTATTTTATATTATTAGAATGCTAAATAAATATTGTCCTAAATTTATTTCAATTTTAAGGACACCATAAGTTTTGATCATTCCTTTAACAATAATATTATGTCAAACTGATAATTATTATATTAATATTCACGTAATTCTAATAGATAGGTAGATTACAATCCTTATTCATTAATTCATATACATACACA